CTACATGAATGTTAAAATATGCTAAGGGTGTGGTGTTAAAGGTCACATCGAGAGGGATTGTCCTTCATCCCTTCAAAGTGTTGGTAGGGGTAGGGCGCGATCGGCTAGTTCAACAACTACTACTTCGGCAACACCTCCTCCAGTTCAAGGTACTTTGGCACCCGCAGGGCGTGGTGCAGCTAGGGGTGGTCCATAGAGTTGGGGAGGACCCAGCATGTTCCATGCTATGAGGGGTCGCCAGAGTTCAGAGGCTTCTCCAGATATCATCACATGTATCCTGACTGTTCAATCTTATGATGTGTATGCTCTTATGGATCCTGGTTCCACCTTGTCATATGTCACTCCTTATGTTGCTATGGAATTCGGAATAGAACCAGAACTGCTCCATAAGCCATTCTCTATATCTACTCTAGTTGGTGAGTCTATTGTGGCCATGCGGGTTTATAGGGATTGTATTTTCATTTTACATGGTCAAGACACCATAGCCGACCTCATTGAATTGGTGATGGTGGATTTTGATTTAATAATAGGGATGGACTAGCTACACTTGTGTTTTGCCAAGCTTGATTGCCGAACTAGAACCGTTAGGTTTGAGTTTCTAGACAAGCCAGTCATGGAATGGAAAGGGGATGATGTCTTGCCAAAGGGTAGGTATATTTCTTACCTTAACGCTGCAAAGATGATCAATAAGGGGTGTATTTACCATTTTGTCCGAGTAACGGGCACTGAGGCACCGACACTTGAGTCCGTACAGATGTGAATAAATTTCTAGAGGTCTTTCCTGATGAGCATCCTAGGATCCCACTAGACCGAGAGATTTATTTTTGGATCAATGTGTTGCCAGGCACGCATCCTATATCACTTCCACCCTATAGAATGGCTCCGACGGAATCAAAGGAACTGAAGGAGTAGTTAAAAATTTTGTTAGAAAAAGGTTTCATCCGACTAAGTGTGCCATCTTGGGATGCACCGGTTCTCTTTGTAAGGAAGAAAGATGGGTCACTGAGGATGTGTATTGACTATCGGCAGCTCAACAAGGTAACTATCAAGAATAAGTAACCGTGTCCATAGATAGATGACTTGTTTGATTAGGTTCAAGGTGCTAAGTATTTCTCCAAGATTGATCTATGATCGGGGTATCACCAATTAAAGATCAGGGAGCAGGATATAGTCAAACATCTCTATAACCACATCCATATATAACAACCATTCACTATAAAAGCCTAGTTTTTCTTAAAATCGATTTATATGTTATATTTTACCTCTCTATAACAGCTTTCTATCTATAACATCAACAACCATCTTTATTACAACACGTTTTTTTTTTATAAAAGTACCCCTCTATAATAGCCATGTGGATTTTCTAAGATTATTACTAATAATAATTTTAAATATTTTAATCAAATATTTTATAACTTTAATATACAACTTATAATATAAATATTTATCTTAAGGATAAAAGTACGTTCCATGAAAATATGCACATTATTATTTTGTTTTTTTGATGATCTTCAAATGATATATTTTTCATTAGAAAAATGACAAAAGATACTTAAAAGATTTATTTATACATTTTGAAAATATGCACATCATTCTTTTTTTTATTTAAAGACCTACGCATGATATATTTTGTATTGAAAAAATGCCAATAATATGTAAACATAATATATTCACATTTATTTTAAAGATATGTACATCATAATTTTTTATTTGAAGATATTTGCACGTGATACTCTTAGGATGTTTAAATATTTGAGTGAGTTTCTCTTAATGCATAGGTAATAAAATTTGAAGAACTCACTAAAGTTATTCGTTTAGAAAATTCAAGCTATTCCTTTAATCTTTTTCATATCATATTGGGTCTAAATGCCAAGCTATTCCTTTGGAAACAAAGGTAGCATTGTGCCAATACCAAAAAGATAATCCTACCATCACTCATGAACAATTAAAGGAGAAGTTTTCACTTGCTAGCCGTCAAATAGTCACTGACATTCATAGCAAGAAGAATAAGTATATAGAGGCGGCTAAGCAAGCAGAAGTTGTTCAACGGCTTTACAAAGCAAGAGATTGCGCAAATGTGAGCATCCAGAGGTATGTATAAAAGAAAAATTATTTATACTTTTCTTCATCCAGAAACTAATTAAGATTAACCAGATCGACAAAGCAGTACAAATTTGGTTTACTCAAGCAAGGCAAATCATGTCATCTTGACAGATGCAATCATTGTCGCCAAAGCTCTTGATTTTGCTGAATCTATAGGTATTAACACACTGGAGAAAAATATTTCTCTGCCTCTAATGGGTGGCTCTTACGGTTCAAACGTCGACATAGGATCAAATCTTACTGTTTTCATGGTGAGACTGAAAGAGCACCCATCCAAGATCTTCATGCTTTCCGCACTAAACTTCAAGAAGTAATAAAATATTATGCACTTAGAGATGTCTTCAACTGTGATGAGACTAGACTTTTCTTTCGTATGGCTCCCAACAAGACTCTTGCTCAAGTGCCAGAGAGCGGATGTAAGAAAGACAAATCCACAATTACCGTAATGTTAATGTGTAATGCTTTGGGTAAGATATATTTTTAGAAATAGATTTAGTTTATTGAAATTTCTTAAAATTTAAATGCTTAATTATTTGAAACTAGTATTGACAGTGCTTATTTATTTCTTTGAAATATTTAACTTGATTCTAAGTTGATTAATTTACATTAAAAGTTTTCTAAATTTAAACTCAAAACTAAATCCAAATTTTTATTAAATTTTTTTTTTACTTTGTACTCCATTGCAGGGACAAAGAAACTAAAACCTCTAGTGATTGGAGGTGTTGCTAAACCTCATTGTTATAAGAATGTAGATATGGCCTCTCTGCCACACATCAATTATTTTTATAACAAGAAAGCATGGATGAATCGTAAAATTTTGAAACAATACATGCTTAATCTAAATGCTAAATTTGAAGATGAAAATCGCAAGATTCTATTGTTGATGGACAATGCTACTCTTCGTGACATCGAGGAATACGAAAGTCAATTAACACATATTAAGGTATTTGTTGTAGCCTTGATCATACTTTTTTAATGGTGCTATTCTACTAAAATAAAATTATCCAGGTTCATCATCTCCCACCTAATACGACATCACATCTTCAACCTGCTGATGCTAGTATAATTGCAAATTTTAAAGTTAAGTACAAAAGCCGCTTCATCAAGCATTTGATTGATAAATATGAGCGCTATGGGAGCCATCCATTATCTAGTGATAATAAGTGCAATATGCGACAAGCTATTAACCCTCTAGTATAAGTATGGAATGATGTGAAGGCCTCCACCATTCTCCATTGTTGGAAAAAGGCTGGAATCTTACCTACAGACGACAATTCCAACATTGATAGTGAAAATATTGAACTAGTCGAGGATGTTGGAAATGTATCATCACTTATATCTCAAATCTCATCTAATAACATTAATGACACGATGGATGCTACCACATATGTGACATTTGATGCAACACTTCCTATCATTGAGACTTTAACAGATGAAGAAGATACTATCGAGGCAGATGAAAGTGCTGACGAAGAACCTCAACCTACTGCTACTTGGACTGAGATAGAAGATTTAATTGTTAAGCTCTTAGATTTCCTTCAAGGAAAAGCAATTGGATATCCTTTTGTTGAAAGTTTGGATGCAAATCTTCGCTGATTCAAGCGTTATACCGCTAGTAAGAGACTTGAATCTATAAAACAAGCTACAATTATAGAGTTCTTCCATCAATCCTGAAAGATTTAATTGTGTGCCTTAGAGTTTAAATGTTTGTACATTTAATTATGAATTTTTTAATAATGTATTATATTTCTTTAGCATTTAATTCGTGAAATATTCATATATTTTGAGATTTTAAATTTAAATATTTTTTACCTTTATATGTAATATTAAAAAAGAAATACATTTAATTTTTGGATAATTTTTGTCTATAATAGCCAAAATATATTCAAATGTCAAATATTATTATATGTGTATAACAATAATTCACTATAAAAGCCAAAACATTTTGGAATAAACGATGCTGTTATAGAGAGGTTTGACTGTATTCCAAAAATAACTTTCAGAACCTAGTATGGGCCCTTTGAATTTCCGGTGATGTCTATAGAGAAAACAATTGTGCTAACAGCTTTCATGGATCTTATGAATCGAGTCTTCATGACTTTCCTTGACTCTTTTGTGATAGTATTCATTGACGATTTTCTTATGTATTCACGGAGTCGAGAGAACCTCGCCGATCATCTCAGGGCAGTTTTGCAGACTCTATATCAGCACAAGTTGTATGCAAAGTTCTCAAAATGTGAGTTTTGGCTCGAGCCTGTCGCTTTGTTGAGTCATGTTGTCTCCAGTGAGGGAATCAAGGTTTATCATCACAAGATTTCACCTGTGAAGAATTGGCCTAGACCTACAACTCCAATAGAGATTCACTGTTTCTTGGGCTTAGCTGTGTATTATAGAAGATTTGTGGAGGGGTTCTCTTTTCTTGCCTCTCCATTGACTAAATTGACACAGAAGACAACGAAATTCCAATGGTCTGATGCTTGTAAAAAGAGTTTTCAAGAGTTGAAGTCAAGGTTGACTACGACACCAGCCAGAGGGTACAGATGAGTTTGTTGTGTATTGTGATGCTTCAAGGGTTGGACTTGGGTGTGTATTAATTCAACATGGCAAGGTGATTGCTTATGCTTCCAGGCAACTCAAGAACCATGAGAAGAATTATCCAACACATGACTTAGAGCTTGCGGACGTGGTGTTTATATTGAAGCATTTGGCGTCATTATTTGTATGGGGTCCATGTGGACATATTCACGGACCATAAGAGTCTTCAATATATCTTCCAGTATAAGGGGTTGAATCTAAGGAAAAGGAGATGGTTTGGGTTACTCAAGGACTACGACATAGATATTCTATATCATTCGGAGAAGGCTAATGTGGTGGCGGATGCTCTTAGACTGATGTCCATGGGTTGTTTGGCCCACTTGGAGGCATACCAAAGGCCGTTGGTCAAGGAAGTTCACTGGTTTGCTAGTTTGGGAGTTCGGCTTGCAGACTTTAAAGAAGGTGGGGTGGTTTTGCGAAATAGGGTTGAATCAAAATTCATAGTGGAAGTCAAGGAGAAGCAATATGATGATCCGTTATTGGTGCAGTTGAAGGAGGGAATTTATAAACATAAGATCATGGCCTTTTCTCTTGGCATGTTTGATGGTACACTAAGATACCAAGGGCGATTGTGTGTTTCGAATGGTGATGGTCTCCGCGAAAGAATCATGAACGAGGCTCACAACTCTAAGTATTATGTGCACCTAGGCTCTACAAAGATGTATCATGATCTCAAAGAAGTCCACTAATGGAATGACATGAAGAGGGATGTAGTGAATGTCATGCCCCGGCCCCGGGGAGCGCGACCAGTGCTCAAGCGAGATATCCCGTCCAAGCAAACCAACTTGATCCATCTACCCAACCTTACCTATGAACAATATAAGAATTAGTTGCAAGAAATATACGTGATAAGAGTCAAGTGATCCACATTCTTTTCCATTACTCAAAGGATATTCATTTTACAATTTCCAAAATATTACACATTCATAATTACAAGGGAAAAACATGTTTGACAAGTACCAACACTTCTAATTTATTACGACATCGAACACCACCCACAACATATCTACGGAGCCTCTAAGTACAACAGAAGAGTAGAATGGAAGTGCCGGCGACAAGGCCCCAACTATACCTCAAAACACAAAGTACAACATCAAGTGACATCAAGCCCGGAAAAGGGTAGGGCTTACCAAAACCCGCTGAATAGAGAGTAACTACTAACGAGGACCAAAGCTGCCCGCTGAAGAACCACCTGCATCCATTGAAGATGCAGCGCCCCTGCAAAAGAAACGGTAGTACATATGGAATAGTACTAGTATGTGAAGCTAAATGTCCTCTTTTAGAATAGAATGCCAATATAAGAAGGGGAAAACCATGGAAGTAGCAAGTAACAATCAATAATATCCAAATGCCAAGTTGAAACATAATAATTTTCAAAATACAAAAATAATTGTTTTTTGGTTGGAGATCTTTAGTATCGATACACCACCGTGTTTTTAGAATGAAGTTTGATCTCGTCCCGATCGGCTAAGCCGTCTCATCGGATACATCCAATCACAACACCACCATGTGCGTGGCATGTCATCCGATCTCAGCCCGATCGGCTAAGCTATCTCACCACAATGCCGTGTGGGTCGACATCACATTCCGCTAGCAATCATCTCATCCCAAATAAGGGGAATAATCTCATCACATGAATCTCATCACAATTAAAGGGAATAATCTCATCACATAAATACGGGGATTTACCCTTAAATTACTCCTACACCGGCACGTGTAGTTTCGGGGTTAGGATGTTTCAACCTACCCTTCCTCAGTGACTAACGATACTCCCAAAAATATTTTTGTTTTGCATACAAAGGAAACAGAAATACAAATACATTCACCTCATAACCTTTCACACCATATATAGATTCATTAGTACTTTCAACCACTCACAACATCATTATTCCATTGGCTCTCTTGGCCATACGTATGATTCTTCATTCTATGCCCCGACCTTGAGGGGCACGACCGACGCTCAACAGGGTTACACCGATCGAGAAAGCCTACACAATGCCGTCTACTCAACTCACCCATGAATAAAGAGAAGAATACATTTCATTAATTAGATAGTAAGAGGTCATGTGAATAACACCAGTTCATTTCAATTAGTTACATAATTAACAAGTCTCCAAAACAGTACACTATACATCCATAGTTAAAGTGGAACATATGTTACAATTACAACAAGTTTAGTTCGACCGTCCCAAAACAAGATACAACTCACACTATATCTACGGAGCCTCTAACAAGAACAAAAGAGTGCTTAGACAGTGCCGGCAATAAGGCCTTGGCTATACCTCAAAATGCTATGTACAAGTACAAGAGATACAGGACCCCGAAGTGAAGTGGCAGCTCACCAAGTCAGCTGAACGGAGGGTGTGCTGCTGTCACGGATCAACACCACCTGCTATGGAACCACCTGCATCGATAAAAGATGCAGTGCCCCCGGCAAAAGGGACGTTAGTACATATGGAATAGTACTAGTATGTAAAACTAATCACCCTCTTTATAGAATGAATAACAATAAACGGAGAAAGAAAAATGAAATCATTAAGAGACTCAAACGGTTTCATGGTGCTGAATTAAGGGAAAAGTAATTTCAAGTAAGTTTTAATTCTTTTAAGTTGGGAGATATTTAGAACCAATACACCATCATATTTTTAGCACGGAGTCCGATCTCAGCCCGATCGACTAAGTCGTCTCATCCTGAGACATCCACTCATAATACCACCATGTGCGCTACATGGTGTCCGATCTCAGCCCGATCGACTAAGTCATCTCACCACAATGCCGTGTGGGTCGATATCACATCATACCATGCTAGCAGTAATCTCATCCCATTCAAAGGGAAACATTTCAACACATAAATATCATCCCATATAAGGGGAAACGACCTCTTCACATCAACACAGGTATTTACCCCTCAATCACTCCTACACCGGCATGCGTAGTTTCGGGGTTAGGTTATTTTGACTTACCCTTCCTCGGTAACTAAACGATAATCCCAAAGCATTTATTATTAAAAGAATTTACCACACATTTCACATTCTTTTACATGTCGTTCATTTTATTGGCATCATTGGCCATAATGCAATATCATTCTTGGCACGTGGACGTACATCATATTTCATACTCTCTTCTCTCCCTTTCAAATATTATCATGGATAATAAAAAACAAGGCTTTTCAAACAAAGACTTTAAACACACATTCGAGCAATTTAGGGTCTTAGACACGTGTGATTTCTTACACAATTTGGATTGATAGCTTTCATTAGAATCACGTTTTTAAATCATAACGTCTTAACACACAGCCCATACTTAAACCACATTCTCAAACAATAACTCAACACAACAAGAACCTTTGGAACACATATTGAACGCATATTTATTTTGACACAGGGCTTATTCGGATTAATCAATTTATAATAAGCAGCACGAGACTTACAAGGTCATTGTGGGGTTAAATTCTAAAAGCAAAGTTTAGCCATCATACCTCGCTTTGAGATTTTCCTTAATTCACTGCACAGTTCTAGAATCCTAGCAACTTTGATCTATTTAGAGATATAGCAACATTGAACACAAATTAGGAAGGAGTTCATGATTCTAGCTCATTTGAGCATTTTATCAAACACTAGGTGGCCATTATGATCTCAAGGTCCTCCTATGGTGGATTCCTCTATTTCACTACCCATAATCTACCCAATTGAGCTCAACAATGTTCCCACAACCCCGGATAGCACATGCATGCATAATGAACAACTCCCACACCCAAGAATTACTTGGCTTATTACCTAGTTTCAGTTAAATCTTGAAATTGAAGGCTGGGGAGTAGAACCTTACATTTTGGTTGAAGATTTTGTGAGTTATCCTAGAAATATCTTCAAGGTTTGAGCAAAGATTGATGAGCAATGACTTAGAATTTCCCTTTCTCACTCTAGACTACCTTCCTCTATCTTAAAATATAAGTTTGAACCTTCTAAAATGATCCCTAAGATTGTTTTATAAGAATGGGGTCGGGTTTATAAAATCATAAAAATGAAACCCCGACCCAGATCTGTGGTCGCATATGCGACCACATAACGCTTCTGCAGTCCACAAAATGGGACGCATAATTTCCTTCCGGAACTGGGCATTTCTGCTTCACTCTGCGACCGGTCTGCGGTCCACAGACCAATTATGCGGTCGCATAATGCGCCGTAGAACTTCCCCACAGAAATGTTTATGTTGGATCTGCGATGATTGTGCGGCCCGCGAAATAATTATACGGCTTCATAATAGACCGCATATTGGTCCTAAAATTTAGCTCAGGTTTTTGCTACTCCGTGGCAGATCTGCGATCCGCTTATCATTTCTGCGATCACAGAATGGGCTGCATAAATGCCCTGCACTTGTAAAAAATTTTCTTCAATTCCCCAACGCACTGTTTAATCTCTATAATCATTAACACATAAGTCCACCTTGGCACCACGGAACCCTGGGTTTTTGGTAAAAGTTTATGGGGCCTTACACTTCATTCATGGCACATTGGCCGTATTTTATATTCCAAACTTTCATTTCTTTAATTTCAAGTATCATCATCATAAACATCAACATATAGAATATTCTGGAAAACACTACTTTAGGTTCATTAAGAAAGAAGGCTTCAAACATAATAATTTCCTTTCCAAAGAGTGGAGCAAAATGACTAGCAATTGAAGCACGAGTTAAAAGCATAAACGAGTGATACACAACTTCTTCTTGAAATACTTTTTCCCAAAAGGGAAATACATAATTTTCACTCATGAGTATGTAAGAACGCAAATGACATTGGAAGTATTTATAAAGGAGAGCATGGAGAATTATGATTACAACACGAATACAAATCAAATGCGCTAGTTACAACAGCCATGGAAACGTTTTACATCTCACTCTCACTTCTTTCACTTTCAAACATCATCATAAGTTACCAATAATTAAGGGCATTTGGATTCAAGACCTCAACTATTTATATGGGCCATGTGATTCTTAAGCACGTTGAGTTTTCTTTCCAAGGTAAGATTAATAAATTTTCATTTGCAAAATGATTCGAAGTCATAACATTTTAATACATAAACTATACTTGAACACATTCTCGAGGAGGTCATGATAGGATAAGAACAATTGGAACCCGTTTTTAGTATATGCATCTTTCAACACAACACTTACCTGGGATAATCAAAATTATTAGGAACAACTCGGAACATGTGAATTAGGAACCTGGGCCAACCATACTTGAAACGTATGGGAACATCGTGGAATTCGATTCTAAGAGAGAAGTTTAGCTAACGTACCTTGTTTGAGCTTTTCTTAAGTTACTACAACGTTCCAACACCTCTAGCAGTATCAATCTATCGGAAGATAGCAAAAATCGGATAATAAATAGAAGGATTCTCATGTGTAACTTCCTAAGGAATTTGTCAAACATCTATTATGCAAAATTGACAACAAATCTCTAAAATGGTAATCCCTTCCTCCCTTAGCCAATTTCAATAAGAAACTACCCGATATAGTTCAACAATCCCACATACTACCTCCTATTGGCACATGCATGGCCTATCTCCAACCCCATAACATACTTAAACCCATAACCTCTTGCATGAAAGCTTAGGAGGACTTACTCGGATAGATGATGTTCTAGTGAATGATTCCCTTGAATCATCAAGATTGGGCCAAGGATTGATGAATAAAATGGCTAGGTCTTCTCCCTCTCTCTCTAAGATACTCTCATTTCTCTCTAAAACATTAGATATTTGCTCCGAAATAAGCCCCAAGGGCTATTAATCAAAATGGGGTTGGGTTATAAAAATAGAAAGTGGACCCTCCGAACACAACTCTACGGTCGCAGAGTGGACCGCAGAACAGGTATGCGGTTCCCATGAGGGTCCGCGAGATTGACTTCAAAAACTGGGCTGGCCTGGACCGGTCTGTGGTAGGTCTGCGGTCTACAGACCAGTTATGCGGTCGTAAAATGGACCGCAGAATCACCCAACGAAGTTCTTCATGCTAACTCTGCAACGGAAGTGCGGACCGTGAAGAAGAAATGCGATCGCATAATGGACCACATAATGATCTTCAAAAATCCAACTATTTTTTTACTTAACTCTGCAATGGGTATGCGGCCCAGAGAATGGATCTGTGGTCGCGAATCTGACCACATAATTTCCTCCTTTAGCAAAAATTTCCACCAACTCCTCGATGCATTCTTCAACCCAAAAAGTCCGTACCTAGATTATCTACAACCTTCGAACACTTAAGACTACCTCGGAACCACAAAACCATAAATTACTTGCAGGAAATTTATGGGGCCTTAGAGTGAACTTTGTGGCTAGATGCCCAAATTATCAGCAAGTGAAGGCCGAGCACTAGAAGCCCGCTGGTTTGGCACTGAATACAAAGATTCCCATGTGGAAGTGGGAAATAATTAATATGGAATTTGTAGTAGGTCTACCTCGCACGCCTCGTAAGTTTGACTCAATTTGGGTGATTGCGGATCGACTCATAAAATCATCACACTTCTTACCTGTCAAGGCTACAGACAAAACAAAATATTATGATCAGTTGTATATCAAGGAAATAGTCAGGTTGCATGATACTCAAGTTTCAATCATCTCAGGTCGAGGGTCACACTTCACAGCTAACTTATGGGAGAAATCTTTGCAAGGTTTGGGTACTCAGGTAAATCTCAGTACAACGTTTCATCCACAGACCGATGGGCAGGCAGCGCAGACTATTCAGACACTTAAGGATATGTTGCGCGCTTGTCTTCTTGACTTAAAGGGTATCTGGGATGATCGTTTTCCATTGACAAAATTTGCTTATAACACAAACTACCATGCCAGCATCCAGACGGCACCATTCGAAGCTTTATATGGTAGGAGATGTACATCTCCCATTGGATGGTTTGAGGTTGGGGAAGCAGAATTGATAGGGCCAGACCTCGTGCATCAGGCTATTGAGAAGGTTAAGATCATTGAGGAACATTTGAAAACTACTCAGAGTCATCATAAGTCTTATTCAGATGTGCGTCATAGAGATTTGGAGTTCAAAGAGGATGATTGGGTATTCTTGAAGGTTTCTCCCATGAAGGGTATAATGCGATTTGGGAAGAAAGGGAAATTGAGTCCAAGGTATATCGGGCCGTACAGAATCTTGCAAAGGGTTGTCCAAGTGGCCTATAAGCTGGACTTACCTCCAAAGATGTCTTTAGTGCACCCGGTGTTTCATGTTTCCATGTTGATGATGGTAGTTGGAGTTACGTCGCTCATCATTCCGATAGAGACTATTGGAGTTAATGAAGTATTGACCTATGAGGAGATCTCGATTGCCATTCTTGATAGAAATGTCCGAAAGTTATGAAATAAAGAGATTGCTTCCATGAAAGTACTATGGCGAAACCAATAAATTGAAGAGGCCACATGGGAAGCTGAGGAAGAGATGAAGAGGAAATACCCTTACCTATTTGTGTAACCATACTGTTTTGTTTTAAAAGAATGTTAAGAACTTACTTTCTATGAATTATGATGAACTTGTACAGTTTGTGCTAAAATCCCCTTTTGGTAATATAATTCTTATGATTTTATGGTCGGTGTTGTTTTCATGCTATGATATGTTGTGGTGTTGAGAATATGTTGTTAGGACTGGTTTCTGGGGTTCTCTAACAGGTGGATACGCCCAAATACAGGGGAGACTCTGCCAAAATATTTTGAAATTTGGGGAGTAAGTCAAATTTGGAGTTTCTGGTGTATGAGTGAAGAGTTGAGTCACCATGGTTGTCTATGATGGACTTTAATCCTCATTTGAGGATGAATGATCTTAAGCATGGGAGGATGCAAGGCTCCGAAAGATTTTGCCAATAATTTGAGGTTTCATGGTGTCGAGGTAGGCTAATGTTTTTGGAAGGTTGTACGTTTTGGGTTGTGCAATGCATTATGGAGTTGGTGGAAAATTTTGCAGATCATGGCATTTCTACGGTCCATTATGCGACCGCAAAACTGTTCCAGGTGCCGCAAAACCGTTGCGTATTGAACCAGGAGAAGCTCAATTTTGAAGGTCATTTCACGGTTCAATAGGCAACTGCATATCCATTTTGCGAGCTACACATCCATCGCAAAATCAGCATGAGGAATTTCAGAGGGAGAATTTGCGGTCCATTATGCGGTCGCATAATTGCTATGTGGATCGCAGATATGTCACAGATCAGACCAGGCCAACCCAGGTTTTTGAAGACAATTCCGCGGTCTATTCCACAGACCGCATACATGTTTCACAGCCACATCTGCGATCATAGATCTAGTTCGGATGGTCCATTTTGGGAATATTTCTAACCCGACCCTGTTTTAATAAAAAGAAATTGGAGTCATTTTGGAAGGCATCAGACAATTGCTTTAGAGAGAGGGGGAGTATTTTAGATAGCAAAGAAGAAGCTCCAACTATCATACTCATCCATTATTGCTCACTCTTGAAGAATCAAGGAAGCCACTCACTAGGCATCAACCATCCGGGTATGTCCTTGTCCTAATCTTTCATGCAAGTTGTTATGGGTCCAAGTAAGCAGTGAAGTAGGAGATACTCCATGCATGTGCCAATGGGAGGTGGTATGTAGGGTTGATGAACTATTACAGGTAGATTCTTGTTGAGATTGGTTGAGGGAAGAAGGGATTACCATTGTAGAGCCTTGTAATCAATTTTTCATAGTAGGTATTTGACAAAATTCCCAAGAAGACTTATATCATGAGAATCCTTCTAACTTTGATTCAATTCTACCATCTTCCTATAGATTGAAATTGCTAGGAGTATTGGAGCGTTGTAGTAATTCTACGGAAAGCTCAAGCAAGGTATGTTGGCTAAACTCCTCTTGTAGAATCGAATTCCATGAATTCCTTGTAAGCCTCATGCGTGGTTTGCCCAAGCTCTTAATTGTTGTGTTCCGATCTGTTTCCAGTAAGTTGAGTTATCCCTAATGAACAATGCATAGAAAGTCTATGTACTCAAAACTGTGTTCCAATTTCTTCTATCATACTATGCCCCTTTCGGGAAAATGTTTCAAGCATGATTAATATATCAAATGGTATGACTTAAATTCATGTTTCAATTAAAAATCATTATGCTCGTTTTTTGGGAGAAAATTCAATGTGTTTAAGACTCTTTTACTCATGTATTCCAAGTCGTGATTTCCAAATGTTCTTCATGTTAATAACCTATGATGATCCTTGAAAGTGAAGATGTGTTGAGATATTACCCTTAACTGGGATGAATTGATAGTTAGCGTGGTCCATGTCGATTCATACAATATTGTAGTGAGACAGATTAGCCGATCGGGCGGAGATCGGTCCCCATGCCACAAGCATGGTGGTAGTGTTGTGTTTCTATGTCCACCCGCACATACTAGGGTGAGACGGCTTAGCTGATCGGGAAGAGATTGGTCCCCATGCCATAAACATGGTGGTGTGTCAGAACCAAATATCTCCCAACTCAAAACATTAATAATTACTTGAGGATTTACCTTGCTCTTAACTTGGCATTTTAATATCATTTGAGATTCCTATCGATTTCATGTTTCGTCCTTTTATGTTGGTACTCTATTCCATGAGAGGGTATTTAGCTTTACATACTAGTACTATTCCATTTTTATGTACTAAAGTCCCTTTTGCATGGGACGTTGCATCTTTAATGAATGCAAGTGATTCCACAGTAGGGGACATCAATCATTGATAGAAGTACACCATCTTCTCAGCTGACTTAGTGAGCCCCACTTCCTACAGGGGCCTTGTGTCTTTTGTTCCTTTTACATTGTATTTTTAGGTATAACCGGTGCCTTGTCACCGGAACTTCCATACTATACTCTTGATATTTACAGGCTTTGTAGACATGTTGTGGGTCGTATTTTCATTTGGGCAAAACAAACTAGTAATGTTGTAGTTGTCAAACATGTTTCCACTTTTAAACTATGAACATGTAATATTTTGGAATCGTAAATGAAGTTTCTATAAGTAATGTAATTGGTGTTGTACATGTTATTCTCTCGCTTTTCTAACTCTTAGTTTTCCTCCTCACATTATTCATGGTTGAGGTTGGGTAGAAGGCATAAAGTAGGCTTGCTTGATTGGGATATCTCGGTTGAGTGCTGGTCGCGCTCCCCAAGGTCAGGGCGTGACACTGTCTCATCTCATCAAGTAAGGTGCAATATAAAGAATATGCATAAAGGCATGTATACATTCCGGAACTTGCAAATGGAGAAGAGATGCGACAAACATCATGTATACATAAAAGGAAATTGCAAGTAGAGAAGAAATGCAATAACCACATCAAACACAGACTTGTTTTTCTTCAGAAACACAATAACTGAACCAAACCATTGATCATATTTCGTCAAACCGCATGTACACCATCAAGAGAGAAACATGATAGGGTGAACCTAGGGGGATGGATACTTATCCACATGCTGCACAACATAGTCACGTGTCATAAATATCAACCACATGGCATGGTCATGTGCTAATAATCACAATCCACACGGTGTGATCACGTGCTCATAATCACAATCCGCACGACGTGGTCACTTGCTAATAATCACAATCCGCATGGAGTGGTCACATGCTCATAATCACAATCTGCACAGCATGGTCATGTGATCATAATCATAATCTGCACGACGTGGTCTAGTTCTCATAATCAAAATCTGCACGGCATGCTCACGTGCTAATAGTCACAATCTGCATGGCATGGTTACCTGATCATAATCATAATCCACACAGCGTGGTCTTGTGCTCATAATCACAATCTGCACGGTGTGGTCACGTGCTAATAATCACAATCCGCATGGCATGGTCACGTGCATAGAATCACGATTTGCACGGCTTGTTCACATGCTAATAATCATCATATACACAGCGTGGTCACATGCTCATACTCACAATATGCAGAACGTGGTCATGTTCTACCAATCTAATCCATATCACAGAGAAAGCAGATGTCACGCCCCAACCTCGGGGAGCGCGAGCGACGCTCAACCGAGATACTCTGGTCGAGTAAGCCTACTTGATGCCTTCTACCCAACCTTACCCATGAATAGAGTGGAGATGTATTCAACAAATTAAACATTGAAAGGATCACGTGAACAACATAATTTCATTACCATTAGTTACTTCATTTATAATTCTCAAAAGTAAATTACACAAACATAGTTTGAAGTGGAGCATGTGATACAGATACAACATTCTAGTTTGACTTTCCCAAAACCAAGATACAAGCCACACTATGTCTACGGAGCCTCTAAGTACAACAAAAGAGTAGTATGGAAGTGTCGACGACAAGGCCCTACCTCAAAACACAAAGTACAACATCAAGTGACATCGGGCTCGGAATCGAGTAGCGCTCACCAAAACCTACTGAATAGAGAGTATATGCTAACAAGGTTCAAAGCTGCATGCTGACGAACCACCTGCATCCATTAAAGATGCAGCATCCCCGGCAAAAGGGACGTTAGTATATATGAAATAGTACTAGTATGTAAGGCTAAACACCCTCTCAAAGATTGAGTAATAGTACAAGGAGAAACAACCTAAGATCAATGATAGCCTCAAATAATATAAAAGCATCAAGTTAAGGAGAAAATAAGGTTTTCCAAGTAAATATCATTAGTTTTAAGTTTGGAGATATTTAACACCGATATACCACCGTGTTTTTAGCACGGAGTACGATCACGGCCCGAATGTCTAAGCCGTCTCACACCAAAGACATCCAATCACAATATCACTGTTCTTTTAGCATGGAGTCCGATCTCAGCCCGATCGGCTAAGCCGTCTCACCCCGAGACATCCACCCACAACACAGCTATGTGCACGACTTGGCGTTCGATATCAGCCCGATCGGCTAAGCCGTCTCCCCATATGTGCCGGGTGATTCGACATCTGAAGCAAAGTTAGAAACAATTTCATCCCAATCAAGGATAATAATGTCAACACATCAATCTTTTCCTATCTAGAGGAAACAATCTCAGCACATCAGTACGGGGAATTACCCCTCAATCACATCTACACCGGCATGTGTAGTTTCAAGGTTAGGTTGTTTCAACCTACCCTTCCTCGTTGACTAACGATACTCCCAAAAAAAAAGTAAAAAAATAAAATAAAAATATATATATATATATATATTGTTTTGCACACAAAGGAAACACAAAAACAAATACATTCACCTCATAACTTTTCGCACCATATATAGCTTCATTAGTATTTTCAACCACTCACAACATTATTATTTCATTGGATCTCTTGGCCATACATATGATTCCTCATTCATGGCTCGGTGACCGTATCTCATATTCTACACTTTCATTTCTTTACTTTCAAGGGTCATTATCATAAATATCAACATATTGAATATTCTAGAAATCATAACTCTAGGTCCATTAGTAACGAAGGCTTTAAACACAATGGAAATACTTACAAAGCATAGAATGGTGATTTACGATTGAAAAAGGGGTTCAAATTATAGACATTAGTTTAACCAACCACATTTGAACACGACTTGAGTACATAAGCTTTTAGGCAATTCTATTTTCAGAGTCAATTTGGAATAGTTTAATCGAGGCTCATTTCATAATGTTTCACACATCAATTCATCCCATTGGCACTATTGGCCACAAGTATAATTTTTTCCTTCTTGATACGGTGGCCACACTTTATATCTCCAACCCACTTCTTTCACTTTCAAGCCTCTTTATTGATTATCAACAACAAGGCATTTCTAATCAAGATTTGAGGTACACATATGAGCAATTAGGAGTCTTAAGCACATTGGGTTTTCTCACACGATTTGGCATCATTACTTTCATTTGAAACATGAATCAAAGCCATAACATTTTAATACACATATCATACTTGAACACATTCCCGAAGGATAACATAATAAGATAGGAGCATTTGGAACATTTATTGAACACATATTTTTCGACACAAAGCATATTCGGAATAGTTAAGCTTATAAGGAATAACTCTGAACATGAGAAATAAGAGCTTGGCCCTTCATACTTGAAACTTACGAGAACACCGAGGGATTCGATTCTAAGAGCGACATTTAGCCAACATACCTCGCTTTGAGCTTTCCTTAAATGACTACAATGTTCCGGAAAACCTAGAAACTTCAATCTATTTAGAGACATAACAAAAATTGAACAATAATGAGGAAGATATTCATAGGTTTAACTCATTTAAGAATTTTATCAAACACTAGGTATGCATTCTGATTTCAAGATTCTTCTATGGTGGATTCCTTCCTCCCACAACCCAA